CATACAATGTGTTTCTAACGCACTACAATTGTTATCTTGTAATATCTCTCTTGTGCATTCTGCATCTCTATGACCAATCTGTCCTTCTTGGCTTCCCTTCCCTCCTCATTATAAATTTAAATTTTCAGTTTCAATCCTACACCAGTTCAGTCACTTTGTGCCTCTCATGATTTGAGCTGCAATTAGGCTTCTGGTTCTTAATTTCTTGATGCACTGATATCTGCCAGAGTCTTAAATTCTACGAAAGTCCGACATTTCATGAGGCACGGTTTAAAAATTCGAGTGGTTAAGCCAGATCTATTTTGACTGGCATTCTTCTCAGATTCAGGGATGATCTTCTCCATCACTGCCAGTCTGAGAAAATGAACTTAGGATGTTTCAAACTGGACAATTAAGGTACGGTTCCCCTTGTAACTTTAGAGCAGCCATTGGTTGTGCCAGTGGGTTTATAGTCTTTGAAAATCATAGGCTTACAGAGGATCTAATGCAGTCCTAAATTACATCAACAGAGGGATAGTGTCAAGACAAGAAGTGATAATACCACTTTACACAATGCTGGTGAAACCACACTTAGAATACTGTCTGTAGTTTTGGTCACAATACAAAAGAGGTGTCAAGACCCTGGAAAATGTGCAGAGAAGACTGGTTCCCATTTTTTTCCCTAGTGGATCACATTATTGGTAGGTAGTGCAGGCTGTCTGTGGGTACATTTACCCTGTAAATCAGGGGTCCCCAACCGCCAGTCCGCGGACCGGTACCGGGCCGCGGAACAAGCCTTACCGGGCCGCTGGTTGCTGGGCGCCGCCATCTTTTTCGTCATAAAAAGATGGCAGCGCCCAGTTGACGCCGGTACCGGGCCGCGGCGCCCAGCTGATGCCGGAACCGGGCCGCGGCGTCGAAAAGGTTGGGGATCCCTGCTGTAAATTACAGCATGCTACACAGGAAGTACTTTGTATGTCATCTTGAGTTTCTGAATGAAAAGGAAATCAATAAAAAATACCTTGCAGTTATTTTATTCCAGATTCCTCCATGCAACAGAGCTCAGATCAGATCGCTAAAAGACCACCATCACCATCCAAACCTTACTGGATCTGCATTGAAAATTTACGGTGCAGGCTGTCCCTCTAAAAAGGTTAGCCTGCTGATCAGCCGGCCATATGCTTTGGTGGGATATTCTATTCTTCCCTTTTGTTTTCTTTTTAAAACATATTTTAAAAATATTTCTTCTACTACCGGTATATATTGACAATCAGCCCCCATTTTCTAAGCCCTGCTGCATATTTTTCTCTCTTTGTGACCTAATGGAGACTTCGCTGCAAGTAAATTTACAGAATTTGCACATGGCATTTAACATTTAGCAGGTACACAATTTCCTCCTTCAGGAATCAAGCTTCATGCTGGGTTGTCTTGGATGCAGCCCTGGCCAGTAGGAGTGAAGCTGACTCCCCTGGAGCATCTTATTTTTATTTTATTTTTATTTATTTATTTATTTTGTCAAGCATGCATTTGATAATATATATAAGTATAAACATGATTATTAATACATGAAATAGATACAAATAAAAGGGAACATTAAGACAGGGATGGTAGACACATTGGTGCGCTTATGCACACCCCTTACAGACCTCTTAGGAATGGGGTGAGGTCAACAGTAGACAGTCTGAGGTTAAAGTGTTTTGGGGTTAGTGGAAGAAACCATAGTCAGAATATTCCACGCATTGTCCACTGTTGCTGACGTATTTCTTGCAATCTAGTTTTGCAGTGCTGCCAATTCTTAAATCCTTGGGAGCCACAGGAAAATCAGTCATAAAGTTTTGGGGTATAAGAGGTTTTTATTGTTTTACTTATAAAATTGAATTTTATTAGATATATTTAAAAACATTGAATATGCTGGACTTCTTTGACATACATTTTTGTTGTTACATATGTTAAATACTCTATGAATTTTATACATACATACATACACATATTTAATCTTTACACATTTTAAATCCTTTCCATTACTTTTCAGTTACATTTTGCGAACTCCCTTTCATTTTCCTCCAGTGGTTAAATTTATTCCATATTATATAGTATTCTGACTCATCTTTATCCTTTAATTCCAATGTCAGCCTATCCATTTCGGCTCATTGTAGTATCACCTCATCTTCCCTATCTCTAGCCTTCCAGTTTTGGGCAAATATTCTTGCCGCTGTAATTACCTGGATTATTAGGTAGGTGTCATCTTTGCTGTACTTCTAAGAGAGGTTTTGATCTCCACTAAAAGTCACAACTAAGAAAGCTGATTGTGTAATTCTGTAAAACCTTCATGAACTTTCAGGGCTGAGCACGTAGCTACGGTAATCTTCGTAAACTAAGCTGCCTCACATTTCACTATTTCACTTGGCTCACTTGTAAAAGTCAGTTGCTAGAAGTCAAAAACGGCTTGATAGCATTTAATCAGCGAAATATTTTGCAAACGTAGTAGAGACGGGACAAGCGTGTTTTATGCCTCCGATCCGGAGATGCTGGTCAAACAGGTAAAACACCTGTCCCTAGAAAGCTGAGAGTACAGCGGGGGAGGGGGGGGAAATCGTGGTTGAGCTTAAAAGAGTTAAAACCATCAAGTAATGTAATGCTAGAAAGGATGGGAGGAAAGGAGAAGCCAAGAGGAACTTCCTCTTCCGGATGATTCATGGGAGGAAGACGGTGGACAGAGCGGCTTCTGTGCTCTTCCCAGGATGGAAGCAGCAGCTGGCAGGTGAGTTGGGGGCAGCAGGTGGGAGGAGAGTCCAGGAGCAAGTCGGGCTCTTCGGTTCCCTCCACGGCCTGGAAGCAGAGAAGCAACTGGGCTGAAGCGTGTCAGTTGCTGCTGCTAGTTCCTTCCCTCCCCAGATCGGAGCCCGCTGGGGCTGCACGCTGTGAAACTTGGTGGCTGCAATTTTCTGCTGGTGGGAACATTTAAAAAGCCTCTTTCAAGCGAAGCTGGATCCTTTGGGAATGGCTCCCCTCCAGAGGTTGCGGGGGCTTCCATCACTGGAGGATTGTGACAGGATTGGAAGGAACCTGGCAGGTCTTCTGTTCCTCCGCCCTGCTCAAGCAGGAGACCCAGTATTAGTTCAGACAAACGTCTGTCCTGTGTGTTTAAAAGCCACCAGTGATGGAGCCCCCATGGGAACCTCTGAAGGCAAACCCTCCCACTGGTTAATTGTTCTCAGTGTCAGGAAATTTCGCTTTAGTTCTAGGCTGCTTCTCTCCTTATTTAATTTCCATTCAGGTGCTTTGGAAAATAAGTTGACCCCCTCAAGTATTGCAACACTGCTATCATGTCACCCCCTAGTCTTTCCTTTCACTAAACTAGACATATCCAATTCCTGCAAATCTGCTTTATATGTTTTAGCTTCCAGCGCCCTAATCATCCTTGCTGCTCTTCTCTGTTCTTATCTCAATATCTGTTTAAGCCTGTGGTGACCAAAACTGGATGCTGTATTCAAAGTGTGGTCTTACTAAAGGATTATAACTTGGTACTAACGCTTCACAAGGGTAGTAATGTGTGGGGTTGATTCAGGGGTGGGATTCAGCTGGTGTAACTATCGGTTCGGTGATTAACGTTTTTGATGATTTACGCTTCACACGCGCCTGACACATGCTGTGTGCGCGTGTAGAACATTGTGAGCTGTGTTGCCTGGACAGCTGAGTAGCGCTGTGCACAGGTGCGCAGCGTTTGAAAAAGTAGTATTTTCCTGCTTTTTCAACTGCAGCTGTGCCGCGCAAAGCAGCTGAGGTTGAAAAATCAGAAAATAAAGATCAGATAAGAGCCCAGGTGGGCAAAAACATCAGCAGACATAGAACCGGTTCGATGTCTGCTGCTCTTCAGAGCTACCGGTTCTACAGAGCCGGACAGAACCGGTCAAATCCCACCCCTGGGTTGATTTCATCCCAGAGTTCTGAAGAAACTGGCAGACCTGATTTCAGAATCACTGAACTTTCAAACATCCTTGAGCACCTGGGAACTACCAGTGGACTGGAAAAGAGTTGATTGTCACAGCTTTATCAGATCCCAGTTCTGAGGAGGAGTAGGAACCAGGATTGTTCTGTGGGAAAGGCACGGTCCTCTCTGAATCAGTGGAGAGTCCAGGGGCTTAGGATGAGGTAGTCCCAAGGCTGTCTGGCAGTGGTGGGAGGCAGCTGACAAGACAGGGAGCTGCCTGCAAGAGCAGAGCAACTACCGAAGGTCTTGGACCCTGTCATCTCAGCTGGCCCCGTGCACAAAGATTTCTTTGCTAACCTGATTTCCAGGTCCATTGCATTTCTGTCACGTTTCTTGCTGTCTTGTGCAGGGAAACAAGTTTGTGGGACTAAAAAAAAAAAAGTTCAATCAATTCCAACTTCGCAATTATCTTTTTTTTTTTTTTTGCGAGAAGTTGGAATTGATTGATTGAACTTTCTTTTAAATAGACTATATGAATTGGGATGTCACCAGAGGGGTTGTGAACAGTATTTTCTGCTCTTACTTAAGAGCTCAGGATTTCCATGGGCAAAATTGGTGCTTCAAATCTTGCAGAGGCTTTTAGGCATAATTTCATCACTTGAAGCCCCCACATCTTTCAAATTAGCTCAGAAGGTTTGAATCTAACCATTTGGGGACTTTTTTTTTCAGGCTTGAAAGACATCAATTTTCCACGTGCATAGTTATAAATATGTGTATTTATATTTCTCTCTGTATGCATATATCTGCAATTCTACCTCCAGCACTTCCAGGTATATTTAATGATACCGTGTTTCCTCGAAAATAAGATTGGGTCTTATATTCCTTTTTAGTCCAAAAGACCCATAGGGCTTATTTTCAGAGGATGTCTTTATTTTTCCATCACAAGTCTTCCTGAAGGTGATGGGAACTGCAGCCTGCTGCAGCTGAAGAGTTTAGTTGAACTGCAAAGTTGAATGCACCCGTAAAACAGCGGTGCACCCCAAGTGAGGAAATGTGAGCATTGAGGGTGTGAGTGTCTGTATTTCCGTGGGTCATGCGTGGAATTCATACCGCGCCTTCCCAATCGTGGTAAATACAAATCATTTTTTGAAAAAAATAAAAGGATGAATTACAATATTGATGATAAATGTGAGTGAAAAAAAAAAAACAGTTTCCAAAGCCTTCCTCCCCCACCGAGTGAAACCTGAGTTGACTCACAGAGTGGGATGTCTCGGGATGCCCAGCTATCTTTCTCACTCTTTCGCAGAGGAAGAGAAAGCCGGTAAAGCCTGTGAGGCAGTGCATGCTGCCTCTGGACACTGCCTCAGGGTGAGGGTGAGAGAGAGAAGCTGATCATTGAGGCTCTGGCCAGCGCTGCCTGCCCGCCAGATTCCCCAATTCAGGGCAGGGAGAGAAAAGAGGCAGCCTCTGCTTGCTTCTGCCCCTGGCTTTCTTGACATTCAGGCCACCTTGCCACCATGGCAGCAGCAGCAGCAGCAAGCAGAGGCATTGTTGGGGGGTGGGTGGGTGGGAGAGAGGCATGCGATCTGGCCTGCCGGACAGGCCACACAGTTGTCTATCTCATCACAGCTGTGGCCATGGCCCTGGGCAAACAAAATCAGATGCTGGGATAGAATGGGTGGGCTCTTAACTAGGGCTTATTTTGGGTAGGGCTTATATTAGGCCCATGCTAAAAATCATTCTAGTGCTTGTTTTCTGGGTGGGATTTATTTTCTGGGAAACATGGTAACCCTTTGCAGTGCTAAGAAATTGTGGTTGACTGAAGTCAACAAGTGAATTTCATGTTTGAATGGATATTTTAACCTGGATCTCAGTAGTCTTCCATGTGTCAAATGAATAATAATAATGTAAGGGGATATTCTAATGTTGTGGCATATTTGCTTATCCATTGTAATGTATACTTTTTTCTCTTTTTCACAGCTTCTGGAACCATTTTATACACAAAGTTACAATTTTCTTTGAATCTTATGGACAAAGAAGATGGCAATGAGAGTACTCTGGACAAATAAGAATAACAAGTACCATTGAAAAGGAAAGCAAATATTTTCCATTTCCTTCAGAAGACCACACATTTTTTTTTCCTTCGCCAGCAGGAGAGAAACAAAGGGGAGAAAATCAAGAAGAGATTTCTAGCTGGAAAAAGTAGAGTATGTGGATCTCAAACATACATGAAAAGTCAAGGGAGATTATTTTTCCATTCAGCAAAAGAAGGGAAATAACTGGAAGTCAGTGGGGAGGAAAAGGTCACTTGGATAGTCACGTCAGGCAGATAACGATGCAGCCCTTGCCCTGGGAGTAAGAAAACGGCTGGAATCACAGTAACACTAAACAAAGAATCATACATATTTTTGACATCCTCAAGAATATCAGTGGAGTAAAAGCTCCATAGAGGTGCCTGTTGTGGGGAAGATACAAATCACAGCTGATTATGCATGAGAGGATACAAACTGGAGAAAAGCCATATAAATACTCAATGTGGCAAAAGCTTTGCTCACAACAGCTTCCTTGTGGTTCATGGAAAGACTCAGACAGGAGAGAAAAAATACAAGTGCTCCCAATGTGGTAAATACTTTAGTGAGCATGGCGACATTGGAGGACTCATACCAGATAGAAAACATATGAATGTCTAGTTTGTGTGAAACTTTCATTGGAAATTCCCACTCATGAGAAAACAGAGGACTCATACAGGAGAGAAACCCTTTGAATGTCCTATCTGTGGGAAATGTTTCAGTCAGAATTCCCATTTGGTGATTCACCAGAGGACTCACACAGGAGAGAAACCATATGAGTGTCCAGATTGTGGAATAAGTTTCATTCAGAATTCTGGTTTGGTGAGACACCAGAGGATTCACACAGGAGAAAGACCCTTTGAATGCCCTATCTGTGGGAAAGGTTTCAGTCAGAATTCCCACCTGGTGACTCATCAGAGGACTCACACAGGAGAGAAACCCTTTGAATGTCTTGACTGTGGGAAATGTTTCAGTGATAATTCTAGCCTGGTTAGACATCAGAGGATTCACACAAGAGAGAAACCATTTGAATGTCCTGATTGTGGGAAAAGTTTCATTAAAAATTCCCACCTCATTAGTCACCAGAGGATTCACACAGACAAACCATTTAAATGTCCTGACTGTGGGAATCATTTCACTCAGAATTCCTACCTTGTGGCCCACCAGAGGACTCACACAAGAAAGAAACTCTTTGAATGCCCCTATTGTGGGAAAAGTTTCAGTCAGAATTCTGGTTTGCTGAGACACCAGAGGATTCACACAAGACCCTTTGAATGCCCTATCTGTGGGAAAGGTTTCAGTCAGAATACCCACCTGGTGACTCATCAGAGGACTCATACAGGAGAGAAACCCTTTGAATGTCCTGACTGTGGGAAATGTTTCGGTGATAATTCCAGCCTGGTTAGACACCAGAGGACTCACACAGATGAGAAACCTTTTGAATGCCCAGTTTGTGGTAAAAGTTTCGGTAGGAATTCCAAACTGGTGGAACACCAGAGAACTCACACAGGAGAGAAACCCTTTGAATGTTCTGATTGTGGAAACACTTTCAGTAATAATTCCAACCTTATTAGCCACCAGAGGATTCACACAGGAGAGAAACCATTTGAATGTCCCTATTGTGGGAAAAGTTTCAGTCAGAGTTCCCACCTTGTGAGACATCAGAGGATTCACACAGGAGAGAAGCCCTTTGAATGTTCTGATTGTGGAAACAGTTTCAGTAACAATTCCAACCTTATTAACCACCAGAGGATTCACACAGGAGAGAAACCCTTTGAATGTTCTGATTGTGGGAAAAGTTTCACTCAGAGTTCCCACCTTGTGAGACACCACAGGACTCACACAGGAGAGAAACCTTATGAGTGTCCAGACTGAGGGAATGATTTTGGTACTAAGGATAGCCTTCTAAATCATACACACAGGGGAAAAACCATTTAAGTGGCCCAAGTGTGCATGGTGCTTCAGGAAACCTTCCAACCTTATCGTACACAAGAAAATCCACACGCCCAAAGTGATGAGTGTAGACAAAGCTTGAATTTCATTTCTGATGTCCCATTGTAAGTCCAGCTGAGAAATTTACTATTTAATTTGACTACAAAGAATTTGCCTGATTTTTTGTAGGCAAATATGTCATGGTATTAGAAAGTGGAAAGAAAAAATTGGAACATATTAGTTTGATAAGCACCAGACATTGCTGAATATTTATTTTTGCAGTAATTGTGCAATTATTTAAAAATCTTTTTGGGAGTGTTCTTTACATTTTTATTATGGTAGATGATAGAAATGCCACAGGCATAGTCCCAGCCTTATTCTCCCTGGGTGCCCCCGAGATTTTCAACCCCAGAATTCTCCAGCCAGCATCTGTTTGGGATAGGAGCACTCAGACTATAGTTGGAGATTGTGGCTCCTCATATAACACTCCTTCATATAGCGCAATAGCACTTTGACTTATATACTGCTTCACAGTACTTTATCGCCCTCTCTAAGCAGTTTACATAGTCAGCATATTGCCCCCAACAATCTGGGTCCTCAATTTAACGAGCTCATTTTACTGAAAGCCAAGTTGAGCCGGTGGGAATTGAGCTGCCAAACTGCAGGCAGTCAGCAGTCAGCAGAAGTAGCCTGCAGTACTGCATTGTAACTATTGCGCCACTATGGCTCTTATAATGAGAAAAGTGAGAGGAGAAGTAGAGGGTGTTCAAAGTCCTTCTTTTCCTAACAGTGCACCAAACATGCCTGTTCAGATTGTGTCAAGAATGAGGCACGCAAGTGGAAGAAACCATATGAATAGCAAATATATTGGGGGAGGTTGGGGCAGTGACAAAACCAGTGTAAAATTTCAGATGTAAAGGCTGTTCTTCCCTGCAGGTGGCCTTCATAGAGAAAAGCTGCAGGAATATTGAGTTGAGGAGAAAAGGGATTGTGGTTTTGTGCACAGGACCTCCAGGTTTATTCACAAGTCCCACTGTGATCTCATTTGTTTTTAGGGGCCTCCTTGTTAGCCTTTGACAGCTGAGGCCTAAGACCAGCTCAAGGGACTGATACTTTTGTGGTTCTCCCCCTTGGTGGGGAGTTGTGAGAAAAAAAGTGTACAGTAGATAATCAAGCAAAATTAAATAAAGCCAACCTAAGAGACAGAGGGGATGGTCTACAGGGCGAGGTCAAAAGCCATCTCACTCAGACGAACAGTCCATTTCCTCAGAATCGAATTTTGAAGCTCATATTGAATGGTGTAAAGTATGTGTTGTTTGGAGGATACTGGATCTTGAAAGTTGCAGCCTTGAATTTGGGGCTGGAGTAGCAGGAACAGCTGAATGGCTAGATTTTGTGGGGAAGAAGAAGGCCCAATTTGGTGGTCACTAGCCTAGAGCCTGAGAGACCCTCATTTCCGGTCCTGCTCTAGGCACAAAGCCATCACAGAGACCTTGGCCTGGCCTGTCCTCTTAGGCCTTGGAAAGGGGAAATCTGCTTTCAAAAAATCTTAGAAGGAAACTGCATGGAGTGGGAGTGCAGGATAACTCCCCAAAACCTTTGCAACTGAGCAAAGTTTGAAGAATGAAGCTTGACTTACTTAGCTTCTAAGATTAGGGAGATGCTGTGCCATAAACGTTTAAGAACGTCTTGTTTGTGTAAACTAAATGATTTCCAGCTTCATCCTATCAAAAGAAATAATGCAACATGGAAGAACAGCTGGAAACATCTACCTCCAAAGTTCATCTAGATAGGTGATATTCTTTCTAACTGCATCCTTGCAGAGCCTAAATCTCACTAGAGGGAAGAATTGCTCTGAGCAGCCTTCCCAATCTCCACAAGAGTTAGATTTATTGTTTCCAAGCAGTTTGGGCAAAAGACTTGGAGGGCACCTGTTTGCAGAAAGCTGATGTATAGATTCTTAGGGGTGACTCAGTGGAGATCAAAACCTCTACCTCCCAAAACTTTATGACTGATTTCCTATGTTTGCCAAGGATTTAGGATCCAGGAGGTTCAAAGGGAGCCAGCTTCATTTGTGCTGCCCAGAGATGCTTCCAAGCACACCCATGCTAAATGCCTTGTGCTTCTGTAACTTTGCATACACAGAAGTCTCCATTGGGTCAAAGCAAAGAAGTCACAGACCCAGCAGAGCTAGAAAAGGGGGGCTTGGGAAGAGGAGATGACTGACTGTATACGGTGAGAGAAATGTTTCTAAAAGGCATTTCAAAGGGTTGGAAAAGTTGGTAATACAAATGTGCATGCAAAAACGTACCAGTCTTTGTTTGATACACATTCCTTTTTTTAATTAGAAATTTTTAATCTAATAAAATATATAAATCAAACAAAAACAAAGAATGGATACAAAGAAGCAGGAAAGGAATTGAAAAAAAGAAACATAATATAATTGTACCTTCCGCCCTTTTCTCTGTTGAGAAATTGCCATCACACATTCTTACCATATATGGGAATTACCTCTGTACTCTTAGCCCAGCACTATATCCACCCTATCCTATGCCCTCCCTATGCTCAGACGGAAAAAAATGGCCTTGGGAGATATGCAAACTCCATTACTAAGGAGGTGAGGTGGAAACATCTCCCAAGTCTGCAGCACACAGATCCTATTTGGAAGAGGCTCAGACCGACACCACCCTAATTCTCAGGAATATAAGAAGGGGGGAGAAGGTACCAAGGAGATACTTTACAAGTGTTTTCACCCAAAAAGAACACATGACAAAACTTATCAAAAACAGAATCATAACTGCCAGATTAGGAATGCAAATTAATCCATGGAAAAATAAGGTAAGAGAATACATGTCAGCTCTAGACCAATTCAAATCACTGGGTCTGGATGGACTGCATCCCAGAGTTCTGAAGGAACCAGCAAAGGTGATTTCAGAACCATTGTAACATATGTTTCAAAGTCCTTGGAGCACAGGGGAAGTAGAGTTAGTCCTCAACTTAAAATAGTTAATTTGTGGTCGAAGTTACAACGACGCTGAAAATAATGGTTTATGATTGTTTATCACATTTATGACGGTTGTAGCATCCCCATGGTCATGTGATTTACATTGATGCTTGACAACTGACATTTATGATGGTTGCAGTGTCCCAGGGTCATATGATCCCCTTTTATGACCAGCTAACAAACAAAGTCAATGGGGAAAGCAGATTTACTTAACAACAGTGCTACTAATTTATCAACTGCAATGATTCACTTAACATATGTGGGAAGAAAAGTTATAAAATTGGGAAAACTCAACAAATTGCTCACTTAACAACGTAAATTTTGGACTCAATTGTGGGTGTAAGTTCAGGACTATTTTTAACTAAGGACTGGAAAGGAGCTGATGGGGTTCCCATCTTCAAAGCGGGTAAAAAACATACAGGAATTAAACAGACAAATCAGCCTGACATTAATATCTGGTAATATCTTGGAAAACATAGGCAACAAATCTGTGAACACCTAGAATGAAAAAAAAAAGTTATAACCAGTAGCCAACCTATCATGCCAAACAAACCTTATTTTATTCTTTGACAAAGTGACTCGAGTGGACCAGAGAAATGCTGTGCACATAGTAAGATTTCAGTCAAGCATTTGATAAAGTAGATCACAACCTACTTCTTGGCAAGCTAGAAAAATGTGAACTTGAACAATGGCCCCTATCTGATCTTCAACACAGATTAAAAAAAAGTTTTACACTTAGACCAGAAATACCCATTGTATAGGTGCAAACTAGATGAAACCTGGTTTAATGCCGTATCTTGGAGTCCTCGTGGACAAACACTTAAATGTGAGCCAACAGTGAGTGGCAGCAGCCAAAATAACTATACAATCCTAAACTGCATTAATAGATAGATAGAATTAAGATCACATGAAGTTATGGTACTTCTTTACAAAGCCTTACCTGGAATACTGAATCCAATAGTATTGCTTTACAAACACTTGGAATACTGCATCCAATTCTAGCCACTACAATATAAAAAGATATTGAGACTCTGGAAAACATGCAGAGAAGGGCAACACAGATGATTAGGGGACCGGAAGCTAAAACACAAAGAACGGTTACAGGAATTGGGTATGTCTAGTCCAGGGGTGTCAAACTCAATTTCAGGGCTGTGTTTAACCCTGGGGGGGGGGCATGGCCAGGCTGTGGCCAACTCGACGTCGTTCATGTGGGGGCGCCTGTGGTGGCCCAAGCACTCTGCCAGAGAAAATGGGCTCCCAAGCTCCGATTTTGGCTGCGATAGTCTCCTGCAACCCTCTGCCAGGGAAAACTGAGCGAGGGAGGGCTGCATGTGGCCCTCCCGAGTTCTGTTTTCACTGGTAGAGGCACCGTGGGCCAGTCATTCGTTGTTTCCAGAGCAGACCCGTGGGCCAGATCTAAGCATCCCACAGGCCCCATCCAGGCCCCGGCCCTTGAGTTTGACACCCCTTGTCTAGTCTTATGGAAAGTACAAGGGGAGGCATGGCAGCAGTATCCCAGTATTTGAGTGGCTGCCACATAGAGGAAGTGGTCAAGTTATTTTCCAAAGTACCAGAAGGCAACACAAGGAACAATGGATCGAAACTAACGAAGGACAGAAGCAACCTGGAATTAAGGCAAAGCTTCCTGACAATAAGTGCCTTCAGAGGTTGTGGGTGCATCATCACTGGAGGCTTTTAAAAAGAGACTGGATAGTTATTGTCTGAAATGGTATAGAATCTCCTGCTTGAGCAGGATGGAACAGAAGACCCCCATGGTCCCTTCCAGCTCTATCCTGATTGATTGATTATTGAAAGCTGCAGCCTTGAATTGCATGTTGGAGCAGCAGCAACAGGTCAATGGGTTTATTTTGTGGGGAGGAAGAAGAGCCACTTTGGTTTAGTGGTGAAGGCAGCAGGTTAGAGACAGAGAAACGCTCAGTTCCAGTCCCACCTGAAGGGCAAAACCAGCTGTTCAACTTTGGCCAGTCCTCTCAGGCCTAGGAAGCAGGAAAAAAAGGGGGGGGCACTTTCAAAAACCGTTGCCAAGGAAACTGTAAGGCCAGGCATCAAGACTGACCCAAAGGCACCAAAAATGGGTTTTTAAACCATAGAGTATTGCAATGCTAGAAATATTCGGAGGAAAGGAGAAGCGCAGAGGAACTTCCTCTTCCGGAGGACTCATGGGAGGAAGACGGTGGGCAGAGCGGCTTCTGTGCTCTTCCAGAGATCGAAGGAGCAGCTGGCGGGTGAGTTGGGGGCAGCAGGTGGGAGGAGAGTCCGGGAGCGAGTCGGGCTGTTCGGTTCCCTCCACGGCCTGGAAGCAGAGAAGCAACTGGGCTGAAGCGTGTCAGCTGCAGGTTCCTTCCCTCCCCAGATCGGAGCTCGCTGGGGCTGCACGCTGTGAAATTAGTGGCTGCAATTTTCTGCTAGGGGAAAGATCTCAAAAGCCTCTTTCAAGTGACCGTGGATCCTTTGGGAATGGCTCCCCTCCAGAGGTTGTGGGGGCTCCGTCACTGGAGGGTCTTCGGAGGAGATTGGACAGCCGTCTGTTCGGAATGGAATAGGGTCTCCTGCCTGAACAGGGGATGGACTAGAAGACCTCCAAGGTCCCCCCAACTCAATTATTCTATAGTGGACCTGATGTTTTCCGGGGAACAAGATCGGACTGAGGTGCCTCTTGTGGGTCTTTCCTGGGTTGTTTTCCTTGCATTTCTAGTTTACAAGCACCGTGTTTTCCTCTTGGTTCCCCCATCTGTGTATTCACCAGGTTCAACTCTGCTTAACCCACCACTTTTTAAAAATTGAATGTTTTGCACTTTTTGATTTTTTTTATAAAATTTATTGGTCACCTACCTTACCATGACATTCCTGTGGGTGGCTTAGAGGCACAAAAATACATACACATTAAAACACTTTAAAGTAAGAAATGTAACTTGGCTCTGTCATGTGACTTTATGGTTCATGATGGGGCCGCTTTGTGACGCATATGCTAGTCCCAATTGCAGTCAGTACGTGAGGACTACTTCAATTGGGATGTCACCAAAGGGGTTGTGGAAAGTATTTTCTGCCCTTACTTGGAGTTCATGGCTTCCATGGCAAAACTGGTGCTTCAAATCTTTCTTTAGGCATCATTTCATCAGTTAAAGCCCCCACATCTAAAGTTAGTTTCATGCAGACTGACAGGTGTGGCTCAGTAAAACAAAAGACAGAGTCCAAGCGTGTTGATAAGCCAATGCATGTATCCATCTGAATAAAGAGGGGTCCCTCCTAAGAAGGAAAGAACCCTGAGTGTAGTGCAAAGCAGATATTTATACATTTCTTTGATTTTGCTTCATTACATAAGTAGGAGCTGGCACACAACAGATAAGGTACAGAAATATAGAAAGTATAAAAATAGCCAAAAATGTCTTCTGTGGTTTTGGCCACATGCCTAACCCAGAGGATAGTTGTTTCCTGTGAAAGTTTCCATGGCCTCAGAGGCCTGTTGAGTCGTGAACATCAGCCTTGCCATTTCAACAGATGAGCAATCATCAAATTCATCAGATTCCTGATTAACATTAGTGGAGAAGGTTTGACTGTAACCATTTTGACATATTTTTCAGCCTTTAAAGACATGGATTTTCTCCATATTGTAGATGTGTGTATTTTTAAATCTCTCTGAATATATGAATACAATAAGAATAAGAATAATAGAACAGAACAGAACAGAGTTGGGACCTTGGAGGTCTTCTAGTCCTACCCCCTGACTAGGCAGGAAACCGTACACCACTTCAGACAAATGGTTATGCAACATCTTTTTAAAAACTTCCAGTGTTAGGGTATTCACAACTTCTATATCTCCAAACATATTATCTCTCCCCAGGACTTCCAGATATACAGTCATGTCAAAAAGAAAGTACACTCTCCTTGAGTTCTATGATTTTATATTTCTGGGTGTAGTAAAAATCATTTGGTCCTTAGAAGTTCTTAAAAGTAGGTAACTACAACCACAGATGAACAACAATACATGACATATTACATTAGATCATTTATTTTATAAAAAGAAAGCCAAGGCGGAGAAGTCGTGTGTGAAAAATGTAAGATTCAATAATTTGTAGAACCACCTTTAGCAGCAACAACTAGAAGTAATTCTTTTCTATGTGACTTTATGAGTCTCTTGCAGCATTGTGGAGGAATTTTGGCTCGCTCTTTTTTACAACATTGCTTGAGTTCATTGATGTTTCTGGGTGTTTTTTTATGCACAACTGTCTTGAGGTCCCATCAATTGGGTTGAGGTCTGGACTTTGCCTGCCATTGCAACCCTTGATCCTTTTCTTTTTCAGCCATTCTGTTGTAGATTTCCTGATGTGTTTTGCGACCATTGTCCTGTTGTATAATCCCATGTCAGCCAAGCTTTAGCTATTGGACAGATGGCCTCACTTTTGACTCTAGAATACTTTGGTATATAGAGGGGTTCATGGTCAACTCGAAGACTGCAAGGTGTCCAGGTCCTGGGTTTTCTTGGATGTCCACTCCTGGGAAGATTAGCAACTGTCTGGAATGTTTCCCACTTGTGAATAATGTTCCTCACTGTAGAATGAAGGAGTTTAATTTTTTTGGAAATGGCCTTTTAAACGTTTCCAAATTGATGGGCAGCAACAATTTCTTCTCGAAGATCATTGCTGATATCTTTACTCTTTGGCATTGTGTTAACACACAGCTCAATGCTGGAGACCAGAAAACTCCTCCAAGTTCAGCTTTTGTAGATGTAGTCATGCTTCCTGATGATCAATTGATCAAGGGCATTTTGTTAGCAGTACTTGGCTGCTACTTCGCCTCTTTATACTATGGAAGCAGTGAGAAATTTCCTAATGGTGAGAACAATGAACCAGCAAAACGGCTTTCCTTCAGAAGTTGTGGTGCTCCATCACTGGAGGCTTTTCAGAAGAGATGAGAGAGCCACTTGTGTAAAATGGTGTAGAATCTCCTGCTTGACCAGAGACTGGATTAGAAGACCTGCAAGTTCCCTTCCAATCCTGTTATTCTCTTCTGTTACGGTGATATTTATGATACCCTGATAAGTAAAACCGTAGAAATCAAAGAGGGTATTCTTTCTTTTTCACTTGACTGTCTTTGAAAAGAACCTTTTGCACCGCTAGGAATTTGTGACTGACTCAGTCAACAAATGAATTTCATCATTCAATGGATATTTGAACTTGGGTCTGGGAATTCTTCCATGTCTTAAATGATTCATGATTAATGTAAGAGCTTATTGGAGCATGTTTGATTTGTCATTGTAACATAAACCTTTATCTTTTTTTCTCATTTTCTGAAACCATTTTACGCACAATTAAAGATATCCTTTTATTTGAATCCTACAGAGAAAGAGGATGGCAAGAAGAGCACTCTCGACAACTGAGGATAACAAGCAACCTTGAATAGCAAAGCAAGTCTGTCCAGAAATCAAAATATTTTCCATTTCCTTCACCTTCCTCAGCAGGTGAGAGAGAAACGAGAGAAAATCAAGACAACATTTCTACCAGGGACAAGTAGACTGTGAAATTCAAGCAAACATTACATAAAAAGTGAAAGATTATTTTTTCATTCAGCAAAAGAGAGAAATATCTTGAAGTTATTGGGGAGGAAAAGGTCAATTGGAAAGCTACGTAGAGCAGACAGTGTTGCAGGCCTAGGTCTGGGAGGAAGGAAATCACCAGTAAATCAGAGCAGAGGACTCACACAGGAGAGAAGCCCTTTAAATCCTGATAGTGGTAAAAGTTTCAGTCAGAATTCCAACCTTGTGACTCACCAGAGAAAATGTATGAATGTCCGGAGTGTGGGAAATGTTTCAGTCAGAATTCCAACCTGGTGATACACCAAAGGACTCACACAGGAGAGAAACCATTTGAATGTCCTGAGTGTGGGAAAAGTTTCAGTCACAGTTCCAACCTCATTACCCACCAGATGATTCACACAGGAGAGAAACCCTTTAAATGTCCCTATTGTGGGAAAGGTTTCAGTCAGAATTCCTCCCTGGTGACTCATCAGAGGACTCACACAGGAGAGAAACCCTTTAAATGTCCCTATTGTGGGAAAGGTTTCAGTCAGAATTCCTCCCTGGTGACTCATCAGAGGATTCACACAGGAGAGAAACCCTTTGAATGTCCTGATTGTGAGAAATGTTTCAGTGATAATTCCAGCCTGGTTAGGCACCAGAGGACTCACACAGAAGAGATACCCTTTGAATGTTCTGATTGTGGAAACAGTTTCAGTAGCAATTTCAACCATATTAGCCACCAGAGAACTCACACAGGAGAGAAACCTTTTGAATGTTCTAATTGTGGGAAAGGTTTCAGACCAAATTCCAACCTTATTACCCACCAGAGGATTCACACAGGAGAGAAACCCTTTGAATGTCCCTATTGTGGGAGAAGTTTCAGTCAGAATTCCAGCCTGGTTAGTCACCAGAGAACTCACACAGGAGAGAAACCCTTTG